CAAAAAATTATAATAATGATTAAATTCTTCAAGCTTTTTAAATATAATGTAAATCTTACGATGCTAACTAAGAAATTAATAAGATGTAAAATTGGATTGAAGCTTGAACATTTCTTCTCTTTTTCTCCGCCATAATTAAACGTCGATAATGTAATCATACGCCAGTTATTTTTAATCTTCATTTTCTTCCACGATTACTTTAGATTCTGTTGGAAGGAGCGGAGCGAAAATATTAGCGAAAGGTTTACGGATTTTGACAGTAATTGACGAAGACGTCGACGACAATACTATTCTAGGACGATGACGCTAATTCGCAGGTTGCGCTACGCATGATAAAATCCGTCTCGTCTGCCGCCAAAAGGAGCAGGTACGACATTCGTGGTCGCGGCGCGCCTCGTGTGTAAACCATTTACGTAACGGCGAGAGATACGCCGTATTTCGATGATTAACAATTTGTTTTGCGATCGGCAAAGGTGACTCCTTGTACGGCACAAATACCTTACGTAAGACGACAGATAAACGCGCGTATGCAGCTGGAGATTAAGCGCGCATGGCTTTTCGGATTTCGCGAGACGGGATGCAATCGTTTCGTTTTTCGCCTCCTCGCATCCTCCTCGGTGCGATTGCCATGTTTATCGAAATCGAAACAGACTGCTGCAATGCCAGACGTGTATACTTATCGTTGATTTTTTTTTCTTTTCGTCTCACACGTATCAGCATGTGTAGTCTGCCATTGATTTAATTTTTTTCCTCATAGCGATTTACTTTTCTGGCAAACGATCGTACCCTGAGTCATTAAATAAGCGCATGTACAAGCAATTTGGCGGAGTAATGAGATGTATTAATCGGTAAAAATAAGATTTTGAAATACCTAAAAATAAGGGAAGACAGAGAGAGAGAGAAAGAGATGAACCAGTAAACACAAATGCAATAACTTGGAGACTTTTCAACCAATGTATAATATTGAATACACAGTACTAATGTTTTTATTTAACCTTATTATTAAGATTTTTTCAAAGCAAATCTCACACACACAATCCTCATTTTATTTATAAAATAAATATTATAATAATTATTTATAAAATAGTTTACTTTTACGTATTTTTTTTTAAATTCTAATATATATTAATTATAATATAAATCTTTACAATTATTTCGCGATTATTATTCTCTTAAAATATATGTATGTAATTTATTTCTCAATTTATATTATTATCCCAAGAAATCTGCACCTGTGAATAAAATTATTATTTTTAGAATTCCCGCAATCTTTAAGACAAATGTAAATTTTTGTGATTATATCCACTTATCTTATACGTTTTCATTTTTATATTGAAATGGGAAGCGCTTATTAAAAACGATTTAATACAAATCACTTCGTGACAATCGCTAGCATCGAAATATCACTAATATTCCTCATAACGACACCAAGAAATCATATGTGCAATATATCTTTCTCATGCATCATCAATGATCCCGCTATTTGCATTTCGTATGATTAGGAAGCATATTTATTTATAAAACGGAACGCAATTGCGAGAAACTATTGCGAGCAAGAATGCATCGCGTTCAAAGAAACATAACTTTTAATTAATGTAAATCCATTAAAGTAGAAATATATATGTTGCATGAATCAACATATAAATTGGAATATGATAAATAATGATTTTTATTAATCTGTCGATGCGTTTTTTAAAATCTGTATATTAAAATCTGTATATTAAGCTCTAAGCATTTATTAGCTAAATATTTATTCACAATACATTTTGCTGTTGAAAAACAAGATGCGTCATCATATTTGTTATGTGTTCTCTGTTTGAATACTGCGCCACAAATGTATAATTTAATCAAAAATTGAATAATCATGTAAGAATATGTGGCACCAATATATGCGTTTTTTCACGCACATTTCAATTATAACTTGATATCTATCAATCTCACACCTAGCGCAATAGTGCGATTACACGCATTATTTTCAGTTATGTTTGATCAATAAATGTATCTATGATATTATGCCAACTAGAATAAATCTTAAGAATTTCCCAATTACGATAATGATTTTTAAATTTAAACACACACACACACACACACACACATATGTTATCTAAGATATCATAATAATTACTCTTTATATGCATAAAGGTTTTAATCTAAAAAAAATTAAAAGCTCAAACCACATCTTTTAAAGAAAAAAATATTAATAAAAAATATTAATATTATTTAATTGATATTTTGTATATTTAATGAATATTTTTGTGTGTTTATTTTTATAATGTATTGCAAAATCCAGTTGTTAGAGTAAATAAATGCCAAATTCATGAATTACTGCAATTATATAAATCTTTCGATTCAGTCGCAGTCATCAATTATATTATAAATTATATTATAAATTATTATAAATTATAAATTATATTATAAATTATATATTTAATTATATTATATATTATAAATTTAAACATTTATAAATTAAAAATTCAGAATTTTTTTCTACTTACCTGAATATAATACCTGAATATATTATACTGTACCTGAATATCTAATTGAATCAAAATTACACTTAATTTTTTCTCTTTATTTACGTTATTCATGATTTATGTGTGGCGAATAAACAGATACAATTATTTAAATTACAGTGTAATGAATAGCAATGGCAAATGATAAACTGATAAGTAATTGGAAGAGATTTTATTCACGAAAACATACTCAAGTTATGTCAAAATTTTCTTAGACTGCAATTTTAGATTAATCATTATTTTAATAAAATATCGTTAATTGTTTAAGAAGCATAAATTTTGCGAATTTGTTGTTTCATTTATATTATCCGATAATAAATATTTTTATAAACAAAATAAAGATGATTAAATACAAATTTTCTTTTAGAAAATTTCTGTTTTAATTATTAGAAAATTTCTTAATTATTACTTCTTATTTATTTGCTTATTAATTTTCTTAATTATTTTAGGAAATAAAATTTTATTCAAAGTTTCATTTAAAAAGCAAATTTTGATATGTATTTAGACTATCAAAGCAAATAAATTGTTTCATTTTTTTAATTATTTAATTTTAATAAATATCTTCACAATTAGATATTCTCTGGAAGTATCTTACAATTAATGCAAATATCCTGATAATTAAGCTCTTTTTGGAACTTTTGCTACTCGACTTTTAAGACGGAAGTCTATTTCAACCCTATTAAACACTCTATTGTTAAACTTCGATCTGGTAAAAAAGAATATTCTATAAATAATAAATGCAAGAGGTTAATCATTATTTTAATAAAATATCGTTTATTGTTTAAGAAGCATAAATCTTACAAATTTGTTTTATTTATATTATCCAGTATTAAATATTTTTATAAACAAAATAAAGGTGATTAAATAGAAATTTTCTTTTAGAAAATTTCTTTTTGAATTATTAGAAAATTTCTTTTCGTAATTATTATTTCTTGTTTATTTTCTCAATTATTTTCTTAATTATTTTAGGAAATAAAATTTTATTTAAAATTTCATTTAAAAAACAAACTTTGATATGTATTTAAACTATCAAAGCTTAATTATATAATTTTAATAAATATCTTTATAATTAGATGTTGTCTGAGAATATCTTACAATTACGTAAATATCTTGATAATTAGATTCCTTTTGGAATTTTTGCTACTCGACTTTAAGATGGAAGTCTATTGCAACTCCTCATTAAGCAATCTATTGTTAAACTTCGATCTAGTAAAAAAGAATATTCTATAAAAGGTAAGTGCGAGAGGTTAATCACCCCGTGAACTCGCCATATATTGATCTTCCATTCTTCGCCACCCTTTCCCTTGCCGCCCTCATAGTACGCAGTTCAGCCCTCTCTCTTTATTCCAAAGCGCGTCTGCGTACTCCTTGTACGGACACGCGTGTATCTGTGCACGCATCAGACAAGTGGGATATCTCGGGATCGAGTCATTGCTCATGCTCAGTGAGAACTCTAACGAGCAAAGGGCTGACATTTGCCAGTGCAAGACGATTTATTCGATTTACTCCTCAAATCAAGCTTGCTCAGCGTTCTATTCATCGACCGTGCAATCACGCTTCTCCTCTCTAAGAAACGTCATCGCACAGTTTGTGCACATTTCATGTCCCGATGGGACCAGAGGAGATCCATTCCCTGGAAATATCCGATCGATTGAGCCAAGGTTACGACAACAAGTGTCCAGGAAGTTGTCCAGAAGAAAATTTACGATACACAATTTGACGACGATGAATAATCGTAGACAGTTGGATTTTGATACGTAACGTTCTGACGGAAGCAAATGTGTATGTGTGTGTATCTCTGTGAAAAAGTGTTAATAGGAAATCGAATTAATTTAATGCGTTACTAGCATAATCGATGAATCATTGACTGAAGCATTAAATTTCAAGGTGATATCAATACTTATCGTTCGTGATAAGAAAATAGTGCGAGTTTCGACTCACCAGGCTTATATAAATTTTACTTTCAAAGAAATTTGAGAAAGGTTTTAATAAATTGTGCTTTTTTTATTATTAAGTAAAAAATATATTCAATAAAATGTGTTAAAATTTCATTTGATAAATCAAAAAACATATCTGAGTCGTATTATATAATAGGCTGTAGAGGTATGTTTCAAGACAATCGGTGGAATAATTGAAAAAAATTATAATTGCAAATTGTCCCAGATTATTAATTATTCTTTCGCGTTAATATGGAACTTTATATGAATAATAAATAAATTTCTCTTAGTAAAATTAAAAATTAAAGTAAAAAACGATGCAATAAAAATTTCTAATATTATACATTTCATAATAAATAGAATAAAATTGAAATAATCTACGATTGTGACAATCATAAATATATAAAGGTTATCACAAAACAAAATATAACAATAATTTAACGCGATATATTCCCATTAAATTATCAATTACAAATAAAAAATGTCTAAACAATAATAGAAAAGATTGAGGAAAGAGGAAAACACAGTTTACATTTTTCTTAAACCAATAAAGGAAAAATCAAAATATCATTAAAAAAATCACATAAAAGGTTTCCCAAGCTTCTTACAAAAGATAAGACGATATTTCGCGCTTTACGTCATTGCGTATAACAATAACAATTAGCTCAGTCGTCAGGGAGCACCCGTTAGACGGAGAAACGAGCCCCGGTTGGGAAGCGACGACGCCTCGTCGGGCGAGAGCGATGGGAGTGCGACAACAACACCTACGCACACGTCGTCGCGACACGAGTGAAGCGGCAACGCGCTCCTCGAGCTACGCTCAGCGTGGTCCATAATTTCCCTCGCGACCTCCCCTCCCACCCCCGCGTAGTAGTGGCGCTGGCTTCGTGCTTCGGCGGCGGCTGCACTCCGTCCACCACCATCGGCAACCACCACCACCCCCTGCTGACGGCCGACCGAGCGGGGCCGACTCTGACAGTGGTGGTCGACTGATGACAGCCGAGGCGTCAGTCCTCGGTGCGCCAGCGTGCTGGGTGGAACGCACGTCGCACACGCGTTACGCGGAGCAGCACGCGTGGACGAGCAACTGTCAAACTGTGCGTCATCCCGGCGGGAATCCGACGAGAATCCCCGTTCCCCGGGGATCCATCGAGTGACTCGTGATCGGGGGACGTCTCCGCAAAATGCGTGTCATCCTCGGGGTCTCGAAATTGACATCGAGCGTTTTTTTACTCGTACCGAGCGGATGAGTCCGGAGCGCGATGAGTGATTCATAGGGGAAACTGTAATACTACTCCGTTTCTCGCTATCGAGGAGAGCGAGATTCCTCGGGACGGCACGATGACGGAGCTCGCCAAGGAGGCGTTCACCTCCCGCAATTACCATCTGGCGGCCGAGCTGTACGAGCGTTGCCTTAAGCAGCAGGGATCGAGCTGCGAGGAGTTGCTCGGCTACGGCGATTCCCTGGTCAAGTGCGGTCGCATCAGGGAGTCCATCGGGATTTACTCCAGGTGTTTAACGTCGATGTCGGCCGAGAGACTGAAGCACCTGGCTACCGCGCTCCTGGAGGACATGGTCGGCGCCGGGACGATCTCGAGACGAAGACCGGAGGCGTCCTTCGCGTGTCCCACGTGCGAGGGTGTTCTCTGCCAGCCGGTGACCACCGGCTGCGGTCACACGTACTGCAGGAATTGCGCGGAGCCGGCGAAGAACTGTCGCGTGTGCGGGATCAAGATTGCCACTGTGAGTGAAACGAATGTGCTGGTGCAGAGACTCGTGGAGAGATGGTGGCCGCGAGAGGTGGAGGCCAGCCGAGCTAGGCACGAGGGTGATATCCTCGTGAGGAAAGGTCACTTGGGTCAAGCGCTCGAGAGATACAACCTGGCGGTTCATCTCGGTGAGTAAATCGTGTCTTATCATCTTCCTCTGAGCAAACGCGTCTTCGTGCCATGATAAACGCTACTTTCTCGTCGCGATTTAACGCGTCCATTTTTACGCTTTATCAATGACACGAAGAGATTAAGGCTCTCGGCTATTGCGCAGGATAAGGCAAAGTAATTCTTGCTGACTACGTAAACATATATGTATAGTTATAAATTAGTAATTTAAATTTAATATGACGTGCAATTTTGTTAATAGATTAATTAAGGATGTTTTGTATGTGCAATCCCAAAAAATAGCTGAAAATCAATATTGACGAATATTCACTTTTGGTGTATTTTGAGTATGAGAAATTGTGTGGAATATTACAATTTGATCTTAGCTACAGTAATTATTTTGCATCTTCGATCAAGAAAAACGGATTAAGCTGTATTATTACCTTTTTTTATTGAGAGAAATATGCATTGCGATTTATTGTACTTCAAAATTCTTGATTAAAAGGAGGACAAAATATTTAATAATTTATTAGTAACAATTCAATTGTCTAATGAAATTTGACAGAATTTTAAATTTTTTAACAGTGATAATGTCATATAAAATTCATCTTTTCTTATTAGAAAATTAAAAGACTGCAATTTATTATTATATCTCTAATTCAGGAATGGTAATTATTTTTGCACCTCCTAAAAGGATGTTTTGTATGTAAAATCCCAGTAAAAAGTAGCTGAAAATCAATATTGACGAATATCTACTTTTGGTGTATTTTGAGTACGAGAAATTGTGTGGAATATTATAATTTCATCTTAGCTACAGTGCAGAGATGTATTTTTTAATATTTATTGCGTTTTTACTGAAATATTCCGAATTTTGTTAATCGAAATGATTAACTTTTGGCAGAGAATTTTGTGACAAATACATAGTTAACTTCATTGAATTATATTTAATATCTTTTTAACTAGTTAGTTAGTACTTGTATAATATTATTTGACCAAATATTTCCTCTGTATCTAAACTTTTGCAAATTTCAAACAAATTCTGAATATTATTTCCATGTGTTTTTGTCACTTGAATCGACGTGGTTATACGTTTCCTATAAGAACATATGTTAATTCAGTGCAAATTAAAATCCTTATAATTTGTAAACGTTTTAGTGAATCGATTTAAAAATTGTACTGAAGGTTCTTAACATATGTAAGGACATTCTGTACAATTTTCATTAAATTCTTAATATTTTGAAAATAGGTACAAAACATCCTTAAATAGGAATTGAATTTTTCTTTCTTAGAAGAGTGAAGTCATGTTTAATATATTCCATGTTGCAAATTCAGTAGAAATACTTAAAGAGCACTATGAAAAGCGATTTTTTTAAAACATTTTTTCATATTTTTGATTTTTACATTTAAAAAATAAAAATATATTTTTATATAAAAAAATAAAAACAAAATTAAAATGTAAAAGATTAAACAACTAGACACAAGGTATTAATACAGAAATAGTGAGGATTGAATAATATAATTTACAATAAAATGATTGAATAACTTATTTGGATTGAATAACATATTTACAAAAAAACATTACATAACGATTTTATAAATCATAAAGGTTTAATCATCAAATTTTGATTCTTTCTATTTATATCACACTGATATATGATATCAATGTCATGATATTATTAATATATGCGTCATTAATAGTTTTGTGCGCGGTTTGAAACAAAATATATCAGTTAAATCAAATTGTGCCAGTTATTCGTAAAAGAATGATATTAGGGAATCGATTTTATCGATTCCTAAAATTGTAAAAATCAAGATATCATTTTTTTGTTTGATTTCTTTGCGAGCAAAGAGTAACATGTGGTTATATAAAGATTATTACGAAACATCTAATCTCTGAATAACGTTTCAGGCGAGACTAGAAGTATACTAGTTTATCGTTCATAATGTTATGTTTCATAATTTGCCTTGATTTAATCAAAATTGCGAATATTTTGCGCTAATAAAATCACCTTCTTTACATAAAGCACATAAAATCATACTCTTTATATATCTGAATTAATGCAAATGAACTAGATGCTTAAAGTGCGCTACACGTTTGCGGATTTAATCGAGATATGTGTAGATAGATACAGGACAGCGTGCATGGAGCCAAATCTGTTGCAAAGATGAATCAAACGAACATTTTAGTTGACAATTAATTAAGGCTCGAGAATCAGAAAAATATTAATACTGGAAAAATTATGAAAATATTGTAATGTTTAGACAGCAAGAATATTTAATTCTTATCTGATTTTATATTTTATATATGAATTTTCATTTCATGATTAAATAGCTCTCAAAAATTTAAATGCTAAATAAATGTATTATAAATAAAATGTTAATTGTAAAGAATATTAAACATACTATTTCATATCTATCTATCTACAATATAGAATATGTGCACGAAAATATATATAATGTATCAAAGATAATCGGAATCTATACATAATTTAAGTGAAGCTATTGTGAATTAACATAAAAAATTGTAAAATAAAGCAAATGAATTTTATAAAATGAATAAAAATTTAATAATCTGAACAATAAATTATTAAAAAAATATTGTATTATGTTAATATCGATTGTGATATTGAAAATATATTTTTAATTCTGTATATATCTCTTAATTATATATAAAATAAAAAGATACACATTACAATAAAAGACTTTAAATAAAAAGAGAAAGCTCGTCTATAACAAAATGTACATTTATTCAAAGAGCGCAATATCTCATTGTTTATTATATAAATAATAATTATCTACAAAATTAACTATCATTTAGAATTATTTTTCGTGAAATAATTTCTTTCTAAAAAAACAATATCATATCCTATGCAATTCTTTCATCAGTCTTACGCTGTAAAGTATTAAAAAAACATATTATAAACATATGATGCTTCCTCTTTAGTTTTTTTTCGGAAAACATTGAAGAAGGTCATAGTAATTTGAATTAATATTTATCTTTTCTTTTTCTCCGATAGTAAGACTCATGTGCATATTCACTGTTTTTTCTTATTGCTTTCTGCAGCTCATTTTTTATCATACTTGAACAGACTGCGATTATTGACCTTTGCGTAACCGGCTCGTAAACATCTGCACGTTATCCATCATTGAGATTTTAATCATAGATTTTCTGATATCGAATCTTTTTTAACGAATATAAAAATTATATATTTATTGCTCTCTTTTTGTTTTCGAGCTAAGGGATTTTTATATAAAAAAAATTAAGAGTGTCGCTTTTTAATTATTTAATAGAAGTATTTCTAAAAAAAGAAGATAATCTATATTCCTATCTATATTCTATAATGCAAAAAATAATTAGCGCCCTATCACACATTATTGTTCGCTTCTCTCATATCTTTTATCATTTATTAAAATATATATATATATATATATATATATATATATATATATTTAAAAATTAATATTAATAATTAGGCAAGCGAAAGACTCGGGTTCGATTCCCGATTCAGCGACTTCGTCCCGATATTTTTCTCGTCTACATCTCTTCAGGGGGGTAAAGAGGGTTTATAGAATTCTCAAAATATTTTGTCTCAAAATATTTTTATCTCTATATTTTGGTAAATGCACCAAGTAAAATATATGCATATGCCTCGTTCTCGTTTAAATTTTCGCGTACAATTAAAGAATTTTTAGGCATTACCATCCGCTGTGGCTCTTAATCACTAGTTTTCTTGTCGTGTTGTTTAATACATATAGAGCCTAATTCCTTTCAATTTAATTAATATTAATAATTAAATTCAAATTTAGAATGCGTACTTTTCCAAACAAATTAGAGCTTAAAAATATTATTATGAAATAAATTATTTTCTTCAGAGATAGAAGTTATTTCAAAATTATTATAATTCGAGTTTTGATTATATACATATACAATATATGTAAGTGTGCATGTATATATATATATATATATATATATATATACACATATATATATATATTTATATATGTATATACACATATATATATATATATATATATATATATATATATTTATATATTTATATATATGTGGAAACTGTAACTAAAAATAGTTAAACAATTAAACTATACACTTTCTTGTTCTGTTAGTAAGGTATCATCATTAAGAATCTGGAATTTCCAGAATATTATTGCTGATTTCTAAGTACTGTTTATGTGATGTGTTTATTACATGATATTTTTCTTGAAATCTTATCTGGGAAGCAACATGAAAATAATTTATTTCTTGAGAAGCAATCGTCAATATCATAATTAGCAGAATTGTTAATACGTTATTTATACGTTTAATTCTTTAACTCTTAATTATTCTTGTGCAGAATTTCAAGCATTAAATAAACAAATAAATTTTTATCATTTTATCACAAAATTCTAAATAGTTTTATTTTTCCAGATATACATAAACATAATTTACTAGTATATTATTGATAGCGTCTATAATGTCTTTTTAAATTATTTAATTAATACATTATATTAAAAACTATTAAAATAGCTAAATTTTTTAAAAAGAATAGTGGTCCCGAATTTATTAAACACGAAATAATATTTATCTATTATTAAGTCCAAAAGTAATTCGATGAGAATCTGTTCTTTAATAACTCTTGATAATCATATCAATAATAATATATGATTAATAATATTTTATTATGATGATTAATTTTCAGTTGTTCCAATATTTTTATTTAAGCATATGCTGTAAAATATGATTAAAATAGTTAAAAATTAAAAAATTAGCGCAAGATATACAAGTGAATAATTGCAAATACTTATACTAATAGATTGGCGCATGATGCATCTCTATTAGATATAAACTTGATAATCATTCAACAGCTCTATTAATATCTCTGATGAGCAAGATGTTTTACCCATGGTTTGAGTTTTAATCGATATTTAAAGATTGTCCTGCTTTATTCCTACTACGCATCATTTTTATTTTTTGTCATTGAGAATTAAAAGCTCAAAACAAAAACAATAAATTGATTTATTT